TTATCATTAGTTTATGCGAGTACAGCTAAAAATATTTAGATTTATAGCTACAATTATTTGGATTTTAAGTTTCAATTGTATATTACGGTATGACATGCAGATATGTACATAGAATTATAAGTAATTACCCATAAAAAAAGCTTGGTAATTACTGTGACAGTATGAGAATACTTTAAAAATTTTAATATTATCCAATCATTTGTGAATGGTGTAGTATTTTTTTGTACCATTTATGTTCATTTAGTTCAATATTTGACAAAATTACTTTGATGTGCAAGCGTATCTGTCATTAGATAAAATTAGAACATGCTACAGAGTTACCTGTAAATACCTTATTTCATAAAATTTGTTTCCATCAATTATTAAAACAAAAAGTCGCATATGCACCTTTTTTTGTAGCATCATAAATCGAAACTTTGTATATAGTACAATGTAGAACAATTATAATACAAGAGCTTAACTGAAGGAGCACCGAAGTTTTAAAATTGAACGTATCTGTAAACTCAATAAAATGCAATTGTGATCAACGAATATATCTAGTTTTTTATAATTTCATATCGTTTTAATACCATTATCTTTTTTTAGCTTTATTATAAGTTTTATGACTCAACTAACATATATCTACTTTGAATTTAAAATTATCTTAAAAGATACAGAGGACTTTGATAATTTCAATAATACATCTTTGACGACAGCATTTATATGTGATACCGATTCAATTAAGGGGTATTTATCTGAAATAGTATCTAAATTATTGTACCAAGACAAAGGATGCAATTATTAAATATATCAGAATTAAACTTGGGAACTAATAGTTATAAAGCATAGACAAATTGTGTAAATGCCAAGCAATCGGTGGTAAAATTAAAATTGTAAATTTCAATTTGTTTGTTGCGTAATTATTGCAATTGTTAGGATCGTAAAACATTATTTACAAACAAAAATGTTTATGTAAATTTTGTTTTCAAAGATACTTAATTGTAGTCAATTGATAATCGCATGACATTTTCACGAATTCATTTAATTGTAGTAAGCAATATATCAAAGACTATCCAATAATAATTAACTATATTTACCTATCTTCATAATGTTCTGTCCAATAAATTTCAAAGTATTTAAATCTTAGTCTCGATCCTTGCATTTTATGTTACTTTAATAGAACACAATATCTCAAATACGATTTCTAACAAGTATACTTCAAATATTGTCGTTGTATTTGAATTATCTAAGTTTCTTCAAGTTGCCTATTTCATTCGTTCTTGTGCATCGAATACTCTTAACGTTATAAATGTTATAAAACATTTAGCATTTATTCCGTTATAGTACCTTATTAAGTGTTTTTTTTTCTTTTTAACAACAAAGTATGCTGCTGTCAACAGAAAATCTTACGCTAGACATACAAAGAAGGAAAAATAAATTTGTTTGTTATCTTATAGCGAAAGTAAATGTTGTTTCAGTAAGAACTCATAACTAAAGTTTTATTGACTCAGGTAGTGACCTATACAAATAGGTCCATAGGCAGTATTGCAAGCTTACCATTGTTTAAAAAGTTGTCAGTCGTTGTAAATTTAATCACTGAACATAGTCTTAAGATCGTGTTCATAAAGTGCTATAATTAACATTATTCCAAGGCCACATGATAGCCCTAACCCTTGTAGAATACATTGCCATTGAGAACTACGTTCTGCAGAATGACTTGAAGATAATTCTGGAATCTAGATTAAATATGGTATATCATTAAACGGAGTAAGAATCCGATTAAATCGTTAAAGAAAAACAAGACAAATACCACTTACCATGTCTACTAATGCTATATATATAAACATTCCTGCAGCAGCTGCGAACATCCAGCTACTCACAGCAGGAGTGCTACCCAATAACACACCAAATATCATTCCAAATAAGCAGAGTACGGAAGATAACAGATTATAAAATACAGCTTGCTTAGCGCTCATTCCGGCTTTTAACAAAACCGCGAAGTCCCCTATTTAAAGAAACAAATTAATGAATGTATTTATCAGACATACATTTGAAGTTTATATTTGATTCGTGTATTGACTGATTACATAATACGTAGAAGTTAATTTAATACCTATTTCGTGAGGTAATTCGTGGCAGAATACAGCTATTGCCGTTGAAAAACCACCTGCTATGTTCGCTGAAAAAGCAGCACCTATAGCCATACCATCTGTAAAGTTATGCAAACCATCGCCCATAACTACCATCCAAGCAACGCTTGACATAGATTCTGGTGCAGAATGTACATGACCTAATGAAAAAAATAAAATGATTAAAAATGGAATCTATGAATTAAAATATTTAATGTATAAGTAACGAAGTCGAATAAAGTAAATTGAATTATACCATGGGAATGAGTGTGTCCATGATGTTTGGTTTCATGTTCGCGTATAATAACAGTATAACTTTCAGATTTGTTTAGTGGTATGTCAGCACCATCAGTATTTTTCTTAGTATTTACAATTGAATCGTCTAATCTCCAGTCTTCATTTGGTTTCTTTTCCACATCATTCGTCATTATTTTTGAAACTGAATTGCAGTTTGATGTTAATGGTTTTTCCTCTTCGATAACGGGAGGTCTTTCATGATTATTGTGTTGACGATTATGATGATTATCTGGGTAATAAATATCCTTTTTATAAAGAATTAATTATCCCTTTTAACAGTGATTAAAATGGACAATGAAAAAGATTAATTGGACAAAAGAATTGAATTATGTGTATCCAGCGCAAAGAAAGTAAATATGATATTGTACCTTGAGTATCAGTGTTAATTTCACCATAACAATAAGGATATGATGAATATTTATGTTTGCACAGTTTCTCACCAACGACATTGCTGTTTGGTCCATCTGTTTCTCGCATTACTCTAACACGCGAAGGGAGCTGAAATGAATCATATAATTATACTCTTTTAGTCACATCTATTTCTTTTTCGAATATAAATATTATATTTACCTTATTCCGACGTTGTCGAAGCTTTCGCCATTCTGCTACTAATGTTAGAGCTTTTTCAGTAAAAAAAAATAGTACGAGCCCCATCATTGCAACTACCCCTTTCCACATATTTATATTATGTTGTTCTTTATGATCCATATCAGCATGATCGTTATCATCGTGACTGTGATGATCGTGACTATGATCATGGGACATCATTGCCTGCAATAAAAATACAGCTGTCATCTTACGTCGATTATTACATATTATTGTATTTTTAGTAGAAAATTTTACATGAGGTAATAAATGAATTAGAGCGTCACCACATAATGTTCCCACAGCAAGAGCAACCAGAAACTGTAGTAATTGATGATAGTAAATTTTACCCATAAAAGGTATAACAGCTACACCAAATAAACCACAAAGACTTATTATTAGAATACTGATTATAGAATAGGCCCACACTAAAATGAAAAAATAGAAAGCTATATTTAATATCTTACAATAATTCTAATGATTCATATGTACCACTATTCTTTTTACCTTGAACCATATTACGTGATACATCTTCTCCAAGGTATTTACTAACTATTACTGGTTTATAGTTCTCTGGTACAAGAATGCATCCATTTCTTTCTGAACTCGATTCACCTGCTAATTGGTAAACAAGAGCTGGACACACACGTTCAAAAAGCCAACTTGGTAATGTTGTATTATTATTAGTGATGGAATTGTAGGGCATATCTCTTGCAACAGAACTTAATAATTCTTTGCTATTTAAGCACTGAAATTATGGGACAGTCATGTGTGAGAATTATTTAATATATGTATTAGAAGAAAGAGTGTGTTCAATTTTTCTATAATAAAATGTAATCACGAATATTAAAATTCATCTTACCCGCTCTTTCCTAACACCATTCTCATAGTCTGATAGGCCATTATTTTGCATGTTCTTGGATTTCTCTGTAATAAAACATTTATAATACAGATTATCTCTTATAATCAATAAAAGCAATGTTAAATTCAGCTATGTTATTTTCATTTTTTCCCATGGTAATTTAGTGTGAACAGGTTTTAATAGAGAAGCAGTTCAATTTAAATCAATTACTTATTGATTTAGGTAACTTAACAGATTCATTGAGCAGAAGTTTCGACCTACAAATTAAGCTAAATTATTATTATTAAAATGATTCTTATATAGAATCAACTTAAAAGGTATGATTAAAGCTGATGTATGCAGATACATTAGAGTAGATTTATTATGATTGATAGGTTGTTAATTGATAATTAAAAGTAATATGCTGATATCAATTGTGTATCACGTATTGAATTATGCTTTTTTTCTCACATATACAATCCACATCATGGTGTACCACATGAATAATGGAAATAATAACTCACCTAATGGATTTTCATGACTAGTAATAGTATTAAGGTCCTCCAATTTAGATATATCTGTTAATAATCTCAATAATCCTAGTTTTCTTAATAGCTTCTCAAAACCATCCATTGTCACGCTAGTACCATCTCCATAAGTTTCAAAAATTTTTTTCATAAAGTATTTTTCATCTATAACATCTACATTTCTTTTCCTTCTGATCACAGTGATAGGACTGGGATTTTTTGTAGATCGTATAGATTTCAATTCTTTATTGTAATTTATTTCAGTCTGTCCTAGTCTCTCCATTATTTCTAAATCTTTTAAAGTTGTAAAACTTTCCTCTATCGCTGGAACATGAACAGCTTGAACATTTTTGTCAACCTTCATATTCTGTAAGGTTTTTCTTTTAGTATGAACTTCATCCGTAGATGGCACTAATAGATTAGGTATTTTATTAACATTACTATTGTTTAATACACTATTAGAAAATTTAACAGCACCATTCTTATAAGTGCCTAAATTATTTATATTTGTTTTCTTATTATCCTTCTCCTTCGATTCTTTAAATTTCATTAGCAACCATGATGGCTGTAGCTGCTCATTAGGTCCTGGTAAATTTTCAGAGTTTACAGAATTATGAGTTTTCTGTCCCGCAGTTGACAATTCGGTGTGTGCTGAGCAAGGGTTATGCGTGGCGCATAAAACGCACACTACGCAAACTGTGACAAAATGATGCGACATATTGAATTACCTGTAAACTAAAACCAAAAGTTATAATTTAGATACGTGTTTATTTCATTTCTTAAAATTGATGAATCCTGGTTGTATATCAATGTAAACACTTACGTATGGCTATTAACTATTATACATAACTAAATGTATATCATTTATTACGCATTGCAATCATACAGTATTTGAAAACCAATGAAACGGAGAATGACTATCAAACTATTATGTCAAATAGGAAGTAGCTATCTATGTACGTAATAATTCTAGTGATAATGGGTACAATTATAGATATAACTGTTATTGAATCTTTTACTGAGGAAATTATCAACAGCATTCACAATTCGTTAATGAAATGTAATTTTCATATATATAAACAAAATTTTTGTAAATATCAATTACATTAGCACCTTCATATTTGACTTCATTCTGAATGGATAATAATAGACAATACTATGCACAATTTATTGAAAAGATCAGATTATATATATATATTCTACAATAAGTTTACAAAAATAATTTTCAAAAGACACAAGAAAACACATCTAGCATTTCTAGCAATAAAACTTTTTATAGAAGATAATTCTAAAAATATCATAGGCTCCTATTTATAAAAATCTGAACAATTGGATTAGGATCAATACAGATATCAATTACACAGATAAGATTCATACAAGATTATTATGATCTTAGCAATTGATCTAAATTTAAATAGTGATTAATTCTATTTTCAGAAATGAGACTGTTTTTGTGATAGTAAATATATCACGAACTAAAATTATCCGTTGCACTAAAATTAATATACCCGCGACTTTATCATAAAATTATTCAAACGTCAAAAGCGAATTAACATATGATTTACATTAAATTACATAAAAATAGACTTCGTCAATTTTCCTATCCACTATTACATTTAAAATTTCCTCAACATTTCTCAATACAAAATATTGCCGAAGTATTCAATGCTGTTTTATTTCATGCGTCAATAAACTCTCGTTTGATTAATTTTAACAACAAAACGATAAAAAGAAAAAAAAGGAATCAACATAAAAATATGTCCATATCTCGCGAACCTGTACCACCAATTAACAAAGTTGCGAATGAAAGAAACTACAATGTATAATGATCGTGTTCGAATCACATGCATATTAAATTTATCATGATATAAGTACTACCATATAAGTGCAAAGCAGAAGAATCGCGGGTAAACAACTAGCACACGTTCACTGGCTATGGAGATTAAAGCGGCCGACACAGACATAATTAATCGTAGTTCGTGAATAGATGTAGAATTCGGCAGGCGACAGTGAAAATCATGTTTTCCGCATGGAACGCCGGATAAAAGATTTAAAATATACAGCGCGGATTTGATCGTAACCGAAATAGTCGAGATGTTCAATCTTGCGGACGCTCCGTCAAAAACCGTATTTTTAGCTGTCAAAAAGAGAAGGAGACCCCGTGGTTGTCGCTCTCCTCACCCTACCCCGCGGATTACGGTCCATGACAGAATTTGGAATTTAA